TGCATGGTTTTACTAGTCTATATAACTTAATTTAGGTTTACTAATCTATATTTACTTAATTTAATTAACAAGGTGACATAATATGATGACAGTGCACCAATGCTATACATTTATTTTTACATGTGCAGTTAATAATAAGAGTCGAGATATACAAAAGAGTACAAGTATACAAATATCATGATTGAGTGACATACATTCATATAGTGTATTATATGCAGACATTTGTCAGTGCTGCTCACGACATACAGCTGTGCACCCTCACTCCTCTCTCCTCCAGATCCATTCTAGAAATTGAAAGATACTTCAAGATGTCATGCTGAGATGGATTTCTAGGTTACAGGCAGGAGGACAGATACAAATAGGCTCAAAATATAGAAATGACAAGTCTTTTTACTCAGAACACTAAGGGTAATAAGATACAGGTGAAAACATTCTAGCCCTTTCATGCATAGAGGTCACTCCAGTGTGCAGCTGTTCAAAAGCTGTTTTCTTGTATATGCAGGAGTTTTGATGGCAAAATTGCACATCAGTCACTACAGTGGATACCTTTTGCATCATTTTTTCTGTTCAACACTTCTACAAATAGAGACCCTTGCAGGTAAGAAAAATATGCTGACGTCAAGTAACATCTAAGGAGTCATGCAATTGCTAAATTTTAGTAGTGTTGATTTTATATTGGAAGGAAATTATGATTAATGGCATCTCCAGTAAACTGTAAATCATGCATTTCAACTACAATTCATAGGCTACAATTAGGCCATTACTGCTGCTGTTCTTCAAAAATACTTTATCTGCAGGAACTTTTTTTTTGGCTGTAAATAAAAATGTTTATTATTTAAGAATGTAACTTGAAGTTTTTTCTATGCCTTTATGAATATCTTTATATTTTGTAGAGCTTATGAGCAGAGCATAATAGGCAGGCCTCCAGGGTAGTGGAGGAATTATCACATTCAAGTGAGGAAGATGATGCTAGTAGCAGTGATGAGGAATGGCTGCCAGAACAGGATGGATTAGCAAATAGTAGCAGTAGTGACAGTGGCGCTCAGGACATTGAGTCTGGAAAGGATGCTGAGGGAGATGAGGCTGAGGAAGCTGAGGATGCAAATGATAGGAAAGGAGTTGTAGATTGAAAAAAAAAAATTAAGTTCAAACCTTGTTTTTCATGCCTAAAGATGAACAAAAACACTTGGTAAAAAAAAATCCTAACTGAAGTTATCATAGTTCATGTATGAAAGGCGGGAAGTTAAACAAACCATGATGCACAGAGAAAAGGATTTCGAACAAAAAAAAAAAAATAGGGAAACAAAATACAACGAAACCCAGAATCATAACCGTACGAGCCTCTGAGGGCGTACTTGTTCCACAGAAGAAATTCATATCATTTGCTGTTTTTGTTTAATAAATGGTTAAAATAAGGACTTTTTTTTCTTGTGATATTGTTTAAGTATACCAACTGTGTCTAAAAGTATGGTATCAAAGAGGATCAAATGTTTGTCCTTGGGATTTAGTTAGTTTTCACCAGACTATAGAGCTATCGTCTGCTAGCTGCAAGGGAGCCTCTTTTTCTCCCCATGTGGCAAATGTAGCCACTTCTGTGACCACCAACTCTCAGCTGCCTTTTCGATAAGCTGTCACTTCAAGGTGTGATTTCTGTTTTTAGGGTTCTTTATTTCAAAGTTTGTGTATTGCAGTGCTGCTGAGCCAAGTTATAATGGAACATAACTGAACACATGGATGCTTACTTTAAAAGCTGGAGAAAAGTTGGTAATGCTTTAACTTCATGATCATGTGCAATCAAGACAAAACTTGTTTCTCATGTTTTTTGCAATCTAACGGTGCACTAGTCATGCATTAGTTAGCGTGACTGCATGTGCCTTGGGTAGTGAATGACACCACAAAAAAATCCTTAAAATCTATCATTTAAAAAGAAAAAATGGATTGAAGTACAATCCAGACAAAACAAAACAAACTACCAGTTAGACACATTGAAGCGTTACACAAGATCTAAACATGATAATGTAAAATGAGTTATTTCTACAGAGGTCGTGTCCTCCTTATCCCATCCTGTCAGGGATCTGGTGGTCAGCAGATCCAATAACCACAAAGGTGCTGTTGTCCATTACTCTGTATTTCTCCCTTCTTTCGAATGAATGATCACTGGTAATCTACTAATTTGTCCACACATTGTTGTATCCAGGACTACAGTAAGTTCTTCTGTTACTCTCTCTGCCTGCTTAAATTTTGCCTGGTTGCCCAACACACCTTAGTGATCAACTGACATCCACTGGCCTGTGCTATAGGTGTATTTCTGTATTAATTGCAGACATTGTATCAGACTGGCAAACAGGATAGTTTAATTATTTAAATGTAATCAAGCCTCAACTTCAGAAGTATCAGATCAGTATAATAGCTTTGGGAAGGAAATGACCAAAAACTTATTTTTGTCATAGAGGTCATCTGTTTTTTCCTCAGTTTTATTATATTTGCAGCTTCCAATCTGTGTTTGAAGTCCATGATGCCTTACAGGAAGCCCTCACTCATGTGCTGTACTTTTACAGGCCTATCACAGCTTCCCTAAGAGCAAACATCTATCAGTCACATTTGTATACACCAGGAAACAAACTGAACAGACACCAGATGGGCCAAACAATGCAGAGCTCATGCAAAGCAACAATTTGACTTGCAAAGGTGGCTGCTCAGCTCTCAAAGTAAGCAGATCCACACTGAAGCTGGAGCCTCCATCTTGCTAAATACACTGTGGATAGTTACCACTTCCTGTCTTGTTAACCAGTTTTAACAAACTGACCTAATGTCAGCAGCAGTAATGTTGATGAGGAGGATAAAGTAGGTAGATGCACAAGGGAACCTGAATTAATTCCAAGCCAGGTATTTCTGGCACTCATTCTTGTACATAGTCAAGTATTGATTGATTGATTGATTGGTTTTAAGGATTACTCAGTAATTGTAATAGACTTTATATTTTACACAAGTATTAGAATTTGGTATTGTGAGGAAAGTTTTGATATCTGTCCTAATATGATACCTGTGTTGCAATACTGCAACCAAAGTTTTTTTTTTAATACTATGCTTTGAAGAGTGTGAAACTATTTTTTTTTTTTTATTTCTTAACATGAGCCAGAGTGTCTCTTATAAGCTGCATTCACTGTTGTGAACTCTTACTTTATCCAAGGCAGTCAAGTTATAAATTGTCCTTCAACCACATTTAAAGCCAAAGCTTTTGAATTGCCATGCTTGATGGCAAACAGCTGCTGTCACAGAGAGGGGTGGTGGTGTCGCATTTGGGTATCGTCAGGAATTACTTTCAAACTGGACAAACTTTCACCAAAGCAGCTGTTTAAAGGATTTACAAAGGGCTTGGTAGAGACGTTGAAAACCCTTCCTGCTTTTTACATTAACCTAATCACTACTTCAGCTGATTGTTGCCTGTTTTATAAAGTTAGAAACCTTTTCTTCGACAGTCTTCCCCAGCACCAGTGCCAGGACAGAAGCTTTAGACCCTGTTAGAAGTTAAGACAGACACTATGTTTAAAGCACACTGAGTAGTTTACTCATTCTAGTTGGTCTTTCTCTCTCTTTCTCATTGCATGGGCTGGAGCTGCCTGAACTTTTGTGGGGTAATTTCATCTGACAGTTGAAACAGAATTTTCCTATTTTTGGCATTACAGGCACAATTTGCTTGGTGCTCAGTATGTTCTGAGGTTTCATTCCCCACCCCCTCCCACACATCACAGATGTCATAGTAACAGTGTTGTATATTACCACCAGCTTACCACCTGTTTCTGATGACCACTGGTCATATACAATTGCCTGATTGTCAGGGCTATTTTGATCCTTAAGCACATTTTTTTGTTGAAAGTCAAAGGATTTGGGACTTATGGGAGTCTGCAGCACCAAGAAAACCCAGACCCAGGCCCTGCAGTGCTCCTATAACACTTTTTACTTCAGACAGAACGTTGTGAAATGGTTTAGACCGCCTCTGAATTTTAATTTGGAATTATCAGGAATGTGTTAGAGGGGAACAGGTGGCAGGAATTACCCAGCATGCTTGTGTGTTTGATGTAGAACTAGACATAGAGGCAAAGACCCAAGTCAGGAGAGATGGAAACAGGCACGTAGTCTAAAACCATGCTCAGGGAGTGCTCCAGATCTTCAGGATTTTTCAATACTGATTTGACTACAGAGGTTTTGCTTTCAAACACAATGTCTCTTAGTTTATATTTTTAAAGGGTCATAATATATAACAATATGTAATAGGTTTTTTTTTTTCCTTATTCTGAGTTTAAATAGTACAATTGAGTGTGTGCTGTGGTTCACAAGTACCACCTGCCATTCTGCACTTAAAGGTAAAATTAAGCCAAAAAAAATTAAAACAATAAAACTGGTTGTCAGTATTAGCATATTCGTTTTTAGTTATCTGACTCCTCACTTTGTAGACTTTCAACAAAGGTGTGAGTTGCTGTGGTCATTCTACTTTTTAGCCTCTCCTTTACTAGTGTGTTTATGTCTAGCCAGGGACTTAAAAAAAATAAAAATCTAAATTATCTAACATGAATCATTTCACTGTGAGGAAAATCACCAACAGGTGGTGTACATTTCAAACCCAAGTTGTTCAGGACTTCAGTCAACGACCAGATTTGAATCCCATCGAAATGGTGGAGATTTGAAATGGAAAGAATGTGCAAGGAATCCCTGAAACATCTTACAACTGATGGATTTCTATGATGGAATAGTCATCTTAAATTTCAGGTAGCTGAAGCTAGAGATGGACAATAATGAAAAATGCCTACGAATAATAATTTCTGCTGAAGGGTTTCTTAGGGCTTCTGAGGTCACATTTCTTCTTTTTTTTAAACAGAAGAATACTATAGCTATATGTTAAATATGTGACTGGAAGTAGTTGTTCACATATACCACCTTTTTATGTAGATGCTTTACTACCATTTTAACCATGGACTTTCTGTATTTTGGTTGGCCTCTTTATGGTAGGGAAGGAGACGGACAAGAGGTCAAACGGGGGTGAAGAGGGTCGTGGGAAGAGAAATGCCATTCGCCTGCATGACGCATACACCGTGGAGACGGTGGTGGTGGCAGACTCGGACATGGTGCAGTACCACGGTGCTGAGGCGGCACAGAGGTTCCTGCTGACTGTCATGAACATGGTAAGAATTCCAGAAACAAACACATACTTTATACTGACCTTTCAGGAGTTTGTCAAGTAAATAATAGCATTTTGCTTTTTTCTACACAAAATGAAGCAGTATCAGAGTTGGTATAAGTGACTTTCTATTTGTGTTGTAACAATTACAGCATTTGCATCAACTTAATTAAAATCTTGCCTAGTGATAACAGAATGCTGGCAGCTTAGCCCATGTAGGACTTGAATTCTGATGCTTCATAGTTCTACAACATAGAAACCAGAAGAAGCCTGAAAAAACTATGTGTATGTCCTGACTGTCGTTACAAGACAGGGTTGTATCTTTACATTAATTTCCTTTTTCCAAAGAGAAAAATGCAAAACACAAATTTTCCCCATCATGTTCTGTGAATTATTCTGACTAAAAGGGATACTATCTTTGGAAAAAGATGTTGATGCTGATTTTTTTTAGCGCTATAAGCAGCACACCACAAATTTCAGCTAAACCCAAATGACAGACACCACAAGCGAACTTTGTATGTACATCCCAGGTGTGTCCCAGTATAAGACAAGTATGACTGTAATCAGAATGCATTAACTCACCAGCACACCAGCTTTCCTGAAACGAAAAGACACATTTGTATCAACCAACTCTCAGAATTAAAGACTCATGTATAATTTCTAACAGATGTCATTAAAAACCATAAAATTACTCCTACTTTTTGTTTTCTTTTTTGTCTTTCCTTTATACCTTTTCTCCCCGTCTGGTGTATCTGAAGTAGTGCTGCCTTGTTTCTTACAGGTCTACAACATGTTCCACCATCAGAGCCTGGGAGTTAGGATCAACATTCAAGTCACCAAACTGGTGCTGCTTCATAGCCGCCCAGTAAGCGTGAATGCTCAGCTTCTTTCACCTCTTTTAAACTCTCTGTCAAGCTTAACAATCTGGCCCCATCCAGTGTGTGTATGACCTCAGGAAGGAGATTGGTTAAAAACTGATCCGCACTATTGACTACCAAAGCACATCATCTACAAATTAACATTATAACTAAAAGGAATTTTATTTCTTGCAAAATGAGTTTCTTGTGTCCTCTTGAATAGTTTTAAATGATGCAAATCAAAGTATTTTTCCCCAGGCATATGCAGACCTCTGAAGTTTGTGAAAAGTTCATAGAGCTATAGTGTTTGCTACATAGCTGATTTTAGCTTTTTTTTCTCACTTATTTTGAGCCTTTGAAAATTTTGTGATTAATGAACAAAGTGAACCTGCAGCTAAATGATGCATTGTGACAAAGTGTCAGGAGAGAATGATGTTAATTTACTGTACTGTTGTTCAGGACAAACTTAAGGTGGGCCATCATGGAGAAAGGTCTCTGGAGAGCTTCTGTCATTGGCAGTATCAAGAGTTTGGGGGACATCGATACCTTGGTACCAACCACGTTCCTGGTGGAAGGGATGACATCCCACCAGTGGATACTGCTGTTCTGGTCACCAGGTATGCAGCCAGTACATGCTCTTAAATGTGGAAAAAAGCAGAATTCTGATGAAAAGTGGCGGTGAAAATGATTTCTTAAAACATTCCTTATGACATTGGGGCTGAATGAGCCTGTTGGAGAATGAACTCTGCTGTGTACTGTGTCATGGAGGGGCTGGGTTGGATGGTCCAGGATGGAGAGCAGTTTGTTTAGTGACCTCTTAGTCTTCGCTTACTAGCTTTTTGAATGAGTTTATAAATCCTTCCACCATCTGTGGGACTGATGCTACATCCCCCAGGCCCAACAGCACAGTAGATGGCACTCAGACTAGTAACAAATCTCCAGCATCTTGTTACATACGATACATTAATTTTGCACAACATTTCATCAAACACACAAACAGGTGCTGTAGAAGTCTGTTGCCCAGATGTCAACATGCAGCTGTTCACACCTAACTGAGCACTCCCGCATGTCAGTGGGAAGCTCTCCTCCTGCTTGTCACAGTGGAACTAGAACACTCAACACTGCACATGGTCTTAAAAACACTTGCTTTAAATGCTTAAGACTCTGAAGTTTTCCCTCCACACCTGGTCTTTTCACATCATTGCCTAATAGGTTGAACCAGTATTTTACTCTTCCACAACCTTAGATTTAAGATGATGTATTATCTTTAACATTTAACAGTAAGTGTTGTTGAATGAACTGTTCTCATTAGCATGACCTGCTAAACTCGATCTCAGCATCTAAAAACTGTAAATTAATTTGTGTAATCCCCAAAGTCATGTTCTGAAAGTTAAAGATCACTCTAACCTCTTCTCCATCCCATTACTGTGATTGCAATACATCAGGATCACTTGGAGGGAACCTTTTTCTAATGTGGCAAAAATATTCACTTGGATTTAGAGGATTAGATTTTGGTGGATAACGTAACTGTGACTTCACAAAACATTTTTTGTCTACAGCTCAAGAATTCATACACTAATTGTAACAAACTTTTTGAAAAATGTCAAATTTTATAAAGTAATGAAATGGTGAGATACTTTATATCCAAACGTTCAAAAATCATTTTCAATGTGACATTAAAATGTTCTGCTAAAACACTTTTCTGCCAGCATTCAACAAAACAACTCCAGAACAGAAGGGGAGATGGGACCATATTTCATTTTGTAAGATATGACATAGATGTAAATTGCAATGTCCCTGGTTTGCAAGATGGTAATTCAAGTTACATGTATCTTAAAAATCACTATTTTATACCAAAGTAGTTCCTGGTGAACTTTACATGCTCCATTTTTTCACAGACGTTTTTGGTCTGGCCCAAGCATTGTCTCTTAAATCTAAATAACGGAAGTTTTGTCTTAGATATTATTTTTCAAATATACCAGTCGCCTGCTTTGCAGTATTTTCTGTTGAGAAGAAAATGTATTTCTGTCTTTTCCTCCCCCTTGTTTTAGTTCATTGTGAGACAAAGATCCTCTGAAAACAGATTCTGGACTTGGCTGAACTAGCTGAATGGCAACTTGCAAAACCCTGATCTGTTAACCCTTACATGTCTAGTTTCTGGACTGAATTACATAATGTCTATGAGGGATAGGGGTTGTACCCCCCCAGTTTATGTTACTATAGAAATCAGAGAGTCAGTCAGTGGCTCATCTTCTGAAAACTAGGTATGTTGCTGATGTGTACAGTTACCTTCAGGTTATCAAGTTTTGTTGGCCAAAACACCTGCACACTTACTTTGAAAATGTATGCTTGAACATGAATTTCATATGAGCTCGAGATGCCTGATTGCCTGGTCCTTATTGCTCTCTGTGAATGAGTTCTGTGTTTTACATTCAATTTGTAGCTTCTGCTTAAGGGGTTAATACTAAAAATACAGAGGAATACTGTGCTTTGTCATTTTTAAAGAAAAAACATGCTCATTTATAGGCTTTGTGTTAGAAATGTGTTCATTTGGGTAAAAGCCCCAGAGATGTACCTCTTTACTGAGCTAACATTACATCGACAAGTCAGAAGATGCCTAGAACTAACTTAACCTCATCTTATTATTTAATATCATTACCTTCAGGGACCATTTCTATGCACATTATAAGAATATTCCATGAATAGCTTCATATACCTTATAGGAAAATTGTATATGTCAGGAAAACTTTACCTTGTAATATGTAAATGTTGTTTCAGCTTTAAATGACAATAAAATTGCACAGATATTTTTTTAATGCTTCAGAATAGTCAAGCATTAGCTTGTTCTTGAGTGGGATTTAGTCAGTCCTAGAAGTTGAAATATTCTAATAATATTCTATAATCCAAATTGTAGGCAGGGGTTTAAACGTCTTTCTCTTGTTCTTGATTTTCTGTTCCCCATACAACAAAACCCATGCAACACCATGAGGGTTTTCCAGGAGCCCTTTTGGAATAGAAGCCAATTGAAATTAATTTAGTTTCAATCTAATTCTTTTCTAGCATAGTCTCTGTTTATGTGACTAAAATTTACTGAAATGGTTGAGGAATTTCAACAAACCAGTGCTGTATGCACTTTGTTTTTTTGTCTTTCAGGACAGATTTCTGTGTTCATAAAGATGAGCCATGTGATACTGTGGGTGAGTAAAAATATGTATGTGGCCCTCTTTCTCTGTCTTTCACAAACACACACACACACACACACACACACACACACACACACTTTTATTTTTTGCAAGCTCACTAGACTGAACCTTGTAACATTTCCATATCCCTTTCCACATGGTGCAAGTCTTAACTGCTGCCTCATTAACGAATGGGTATGCGCTTCAAGTTTTGTGCAGTGATTTGTGAAACACAATTACACAGTGCGCATTTCACCACCAATATGGACTAAAAGCATGCCAGAGAGCAAAGCACACAGTTTGCTGCAAAAACCTATATATATATAACTTTCTCATTCACTTTGCTTTACAATTTCTCATCCAATACAAATTGAAACACAATAAACTGGGGTTATGATGACATATATGTATCCACCATTTTGGAAAAAAGCACCTCAGCCTGGGTAGTGTTACACCCAACATGGTATTGTGCAGATTCCTGGTTCCTGTCCCGGCCTGGGATCTTTCTGTGTGGAGTCTGCATGTTCTCCCCGTGCAGTGTGGGTTCTCTCCGGGTTCTCTGGCTTCCTCCCACAGTCCAAAAACATGCTGAGGTTAATTGGTGATTCTAAATTGTCCGTAGGTGTGAATGTGAGTGTGCTGGTTTGTCTCTCTGTGTAGCTCTGTGATAGACTTGCAACCTGTCCATGGCGTACCCTACCTTCACACTGAATCAGCTGGGATAGACTCCAGCCCCCCGCGACCCTAGTAAGGATTAAACGGCATGTAGATGATGGATGGATGGATGGATGGATGGATAGTATTGTGCAGTACAGCTACTCCCAAAGGCCATCTTGATAATTCTAAAGCGGCAACCTACAGACTGAGAAAAGAAGCCAACATAGAAGTGCCAAAAAGTGCAATTTCTTGAATGGCTGGCTTTAAAATCAAGCCAGTCCATAAACAACCACATATTAACACGGCTAACTTTAAAGACAGAAAAAATATGTTTACAGCCTGGTATGAAAAACAGTTTTGGTCTCTGCAGGTTATTTCCCTGTGCATGATAACTGTATACTGTCGAACTTGTACAGAACTCACCTATTTAAATTGTATCAATTCAGGTCCTGCTCTAACTCTTTGCCCATTTTTGGATTCACTTCGAGTTTGGGGAAATCAAGCTTTGCCACCACACTGAATTTCAAAATGCCTCCCCAGGGAACACATGTCTGATATCATGGCGAGTTCATTCATTTTTATACATTTATGAAACAAAAGTTGACATAAACTTGTAGAGACCATACATATTATGTATGTTAAGGAGATGATCAGGTAAGGACCCAAGAGCAAAACACTCACACTTAGCAGGCATTTTGTGGTAGCAAAAGAACTTTAATCCAAAGCTTACTAAAGGATAACAAACGCAAGCTGCCGGTCAAATAAAGAGGCAGCTGGAGGTCCAGGAAAAGACAAACTAAAAGTCCAAAACACTATTGGAAAAAGTAGTCCAGGAAAACAGAATTAAATTGATGGCAGCTGCTGACTTCTCTGAGCCAATATAAATAAGGCCCATTTAATACACTCATTAGACACAGCCACAAACACTACAATGGAAAAGTCTAAGGAGTTCAGCACAGATCTGATAAAGCAAATCGTTGACTTGAACAAGTCAGGAAAGTCACTTGGAGCCACTTCAAAGCAGCTACAATTCCTACAACCAACTATGCAAACAATTGTAAGTATAAAGTGCATGGTTCAGTTGTGTTGCTGCCACCACCAGGGAGAAACACAAGCTATCACCTGCTGCTGAGAGATGATTGGTCAGAATAGTCAAGAGTCAACCAAGAATCACCAAAAAGCAGGTCTACATTGAACGAGCAGCTGCTGGACCACTGATGTCAGTGTCCTCAGTCAAGCATGTTTTCCGATTGTGGTTCCAATTCTGCTATCGATTCTGGTTCTTAACTATTTCTGATTCTGATTCTATGAGTTGAAGGTGGTTAGAGTTACAACAATAAATGTATGAATTTATATTAATTCATGAATAATAATCATTTAACAATATAATGTGCTATGTAAAATGTAATATATTAACGTCCACAGGAAACATTTTTCTGTGTACTTTTTTAAGTAAGTTTTTCTGATTATACTGACATTCTTTTACTAAGTAACATTTTCACTCCAGGACTTCTACAGTTTGGTATTTGTACTTTTATGCGAGTATAGGATCTGAGTATTTTCCCCGTCACTGCCTATCTCTGACTATCAAGGAAAAGACTTTATAACTATAGGACTTAATGTGTTAGTGAGGATCCACAGCTACAGTCTGACTTCACATCCACCCTACGGACAGTGGTAATAAAGACTAGTAGTTTTGTTGTGAAGTGGTTCTCTCCTGGTGTATGTGTACTATAAAAGTAGCAGCAAGTTACATTCGAATGTTGCTATGAAGGGTATTAAAGTTGCTTTAATTAGTAAAGTTACTTCAGTCGGCTGTAACCAGCTTTGATAAGCAGAATAGTTACTAAAAGTCTTTGTGCTGTGTTTGCTGTCAGAAGAGAAATAAAGAGTCTCTGTTCATTTGGTGTTATTACAACATCTTCCTTCTTAATAAATGTTATCAGAGTTAGATGAAGTGGTCGTTACAGTGGTGATCTCTTATTGTTTTTGTGTTTACTTCGGCTACTTTACTGTAACAATAGCAGAGTCTCGTAAAGCGCTTTGTAGCAGAATCTACTAAATTAGTGTGTTTGTTACCAGACAATCACACAGTCGTCAGCAGTGCACTGTATCATATAGATTATGTAAAGCTTTGATATTTGACATCCTGGCTCTGACCTTGTCACTCTCCAGAAGGAAACACTAAGCTCTGCACAACAGGGAGTGGGAAGTGATGATAGTCCTCCCACCCCTCCTACAGAAGATATTTCTAGGTAGACTAGCTGTGAGACAATCAGGAAGAAAACATAATTTATCACCTGCTGCTGGTCAGGATGGTCAAAAGTCAACCAACAATTATCAAAAAGCAGGTCTTTCATTAAATAGGAGCTGCGAGAACACAGGTGTCGGTGTCCACAGTCAAGCGTGTTTTACATTAACATAAGGCAAGAGGCTGCCCTGGGAAAAGGAAACCCTTTCCCTAGAAATTACATTTTAAAGCTTAACTGAAGTTTGCTGCTGATCACATAAACAAAGAAACGTATGATTTCCACAAAGTAAATGGGATAATGAAGAAGGATGATTACCTCCATATGTTTTAGAAAAATCTAAAATCAGCAGACAGAAGGTAGGGTCTTGGATGCAGTTGGGTGTTCCAACAAGATAGTGATCCCAAACACACATCAAAATTGGCAAAGAAATGGCTAAATTAGGCTACAATTAAGGTTTTAGACTGGTCTCTCCAAAATCTGGTCCAGCAAATTCTGGCATATTTTCACAGAACTGGTAAGAAATCTATTAGAAAACCAAAATGCAAGATTCTTTTTTGTGACAAAGACGCATGTGTTTCAGTGATTTTATCATAGAAAGTTAAACCTAGTTGAAACCTAGCCTGCCATGATATACATGGTTTTCAAAAATGTGTGTACACTTTTGTTCATGGCTGTAGGACAGACCTAAATCTTGAACCTGAATCCAATTTGTGGTTGTGGTTTGATTAAAGGGTTATGGCATAGCTATTGCAAATTCAGTCATAAGCTGTTAATGTGATTACATGTCAGGGCTACAGAGATACAAAATCTGAACCCCAAGAACTGTGGTTGCATCTCTAAAACATACCTAACATGTAGTTTTACAGAGCTGTTGTAGCCTTTCATCATTGTTTTGTAAGATGGAAAGTAACTGGGGTGTACTGGGTTATAAAGGGACACACACAACCTAAAATGTCAAGTGTTAAAAAAGGTACCTAAAGGACATAATTTATCAGAACCAGGGACAGTAAAAACAGTGGCAGTCATCGAATTTTCAACTTTCCAGGGGTCCTTGGACTAACCTTAGCTGTGACAAACAGCGATATGACAGAAAATCTGGTAAAGTGTGTTTCTCGAATTGATGTGAAAAATGGTATAAAAATGTCTAGTTTGTTGAGATTGTAAAAATGTAAATGGTAAATATTTATTTTATGTAGAGCCACTATTTTTCCGGTATTGATAACACCTGTGGACACTTGGAAATATATTGTACATCTTGATTCCATTTTTTAAAAACATTTGAAACAATAAATCGAAGACATTATTTTTTGTTTATTTTTTATTTTTTCAAATCAATTATGGCATTTTACTTGCACAAAAATCATTTCCTTTTCTTTCTCTTTGCTTCTAGCTATGGTTGTGCTTTCTCCATAGAGGTGCAGAAAGTTATATTACAGTAAAAAAAAAAAAAAAAACACTGAATAAAAATGTGAACGGAGCAAAGATGCTCAATGGTGTTGTGATACACAACATGTATTATTGGGAGGCGGCCACAGATCGGGTTGTCCACCAATTGTTCGATTTGGTGGTTCAATTCATGGCCTCTCACGACCCCCAAGAGACTGAACCACAAGTGCCTTCCAATGGCAGACGAGCACCCTGTGTGGCAGTGCTAATGTCACTAGTGTGTGAGTGTGTGTGTGTGTAAATGGATGAATGAGATATGCATTGTAGTGCAAGGTTAAAAGGTGCCATTATCAGTGCAAACCCTTAACCATTTACCACAAAACTCACTGGCATGTCCTGTTCTTCTGTTACAGGTGTAGCTTATCTGGGTGGTGCCTGCAGTGCCAAGAGGAAGTGTGTGTTAACAGAGGATAACGGACTCAATCTGGCCTTCACCATTGCTCACGAGCTGGGACACAAGTAGGTTGTGGTCAAGTTTTTAACAAGTGCATTTCAATATTAATTCATGTTATTATCTTGCTACTTCTGTGTAAATGCTGCGAAAATGTGGTCATCTTTGCACCTCATGCATCATATACAAGTCCAGGGGCCTGTACAACGAAGCAAGATTTGGGGTTAGTGAGGTAACGTCAGGTTAAATCCTGGGTTTTTGGTTCTACGACGGTGGTTCACTTCTTATCGGGGTATATCACCATGGTAACTCACGCTGAACGGCTAACCTGCTCCACAACAGGTTATGTTCGAGGTTGAGCTCACAGGGTATAAAAGCACCACCCACTGAAAATCAGTTCTCTCCTGTAAAACTTAAGAAAGAGTAGAAAACGAAGCAGTTCTCAACAAAATGGCATCACCAGCATTTATTGAAGACCCGCTACACATCGGAGCGTGAATTGTGAGGGATCGCTGAAGAGTGTGAGGGTTTTTTGGGACTGGCAAAACAGCGCACCCTGACTTGGGTTGACTTACCAAATTGATAACCACCCTCATAGGACTGGTTATCCTGAGTGCGATTGTTAGGGTTAGTTAAGCCGGATCTCTGAAAGATATCCTGAGTATGTGGATCTCGCTTCACAGTACAGGCCCCTGAGCAGAGTGTTTAGAAGTGCAGGGTACCAGACTTCAGATTCCTCCCAATCCAGATCAAATTTATCATTCTGATAATAAGAAAGCTTTTTTTTAAAAATTATCCATCAATTGCATTCCATTCAAGATCCTCATCCAAATCAACTGCAAAATTAGATGACTTGCTCCGTGGCCTGCACTCTACCTATCTACCAAATACATGTGTTCTCCTGCTTCAAGATATCAGACAGATTTACATCATGCATCATTACATCATGCAGTCATGTTAATGACAGTGACAAACATGGAGTTCAGTACAGACCACCTCCACCTCCACTATGCCCACAGTTGAAGCAGACCAAGCACTATGTAATGCAATGCCATCTGATTTATTTAAAGCTAGGTAATCACACTGGAGGGTAGCAGACAGGTTGTACTTGGAGACACTGCTGTACTCCATCCATTCATCCATCCATGTCATACATGCTAGTTTCATTAAATGTGCTTTATATGTGACACATAGGGAGGATGTTTAAATATAAATTTAAATATAAGCAATAAAACAATTTGAGACTAATTCACATGTGAAATAAACATGTTGAGAATATGATAATAATCTTACATTCTTGTCTTGCACTTTGTAATGAAAAAATGTCAAGTGTAATGCATTATAATTCACTAGTAAACAAAAGAGTAATTCCAAGTTAATAGCACGCTTATCAAACCGCTCAAGTAACTAAAAACCAAAATGTATTCATGATTTCCTTATCAGTGAAAATTTTGTCCATCATGTGTAACATTTTACTAACAGTAAAACGAAAATATGAGCCATAACATCTGTGATGGAGCTCAGGACTCAGCCTGATGACAGCTGCTGTGTAACAACTGTTTTAAGCGTAGTTTAAAAACTGCGACTCTTTGTGTGACAGCTTGCACATTGTGATTTGCAATTAGCTTCTAATGCATCATGTCTACATGCTGGAGAAAATTCATCCTAAGTAATTTAGATAATACTGTTGTTGTACTTGGGTAAATTCACGCAACACTCTCTTGCTCATATGAATCCTATTGTTGTCTCATGCAGCAGGTATTTAATACACTTGGAGAAAAGACTCCTACAAACAGCTGGAAGCAACAAGCTAAACTTCCGCTCCTGTAACTGTTTTGTCAAAACCTATGTTAGTCATTATTCTTGATTGTCATTAATCTGATGTCTTCTCTCTTTGTTACAGTAAAATTTTACTTCTATGGACATTTCAATCCATAATAAATGTGAAATTGTAGTGAAAGGTGAAAGAGTAAGGGTTTTATGACCTTGGCCACTATGAACTATGTCACTTTGTGATGTGTTTGGACCCATATTGATGCTGAAATGTGGAAAAAGCCGTCCCTCAATGGTCTTGCACAACTCTAAGTATGTCGCTTGTATGTGCTTATCTGTTAATGTGATGGCATGCAGTTCATATTGCTGTCCTGATTTTTATGGAAGCGGTACCATGGTGCTCATTTAGACATGAAACCAACACATTTAGTTGCGATCAGATTAATGGAAATGAGTGTGGGTCCTAAAAGGGGCATAGCGTATTTGAGCCTCCTCCTGGAGGACATTTCTTCTCAACGGGAACCTTCAAATTTCCAATGATGTTCATGCGTTTTGCTGAAGCTGAAGTTTTTAAAATGAAGAAAGATGGCCACTGTACCACAGATGTAGTCTGACCTAATGTATCAAATGCATTTTGTTCAGCAGTGGCGAGGTTAGTCCAAACAGCAAGTTGTCACTCTTTAGAATCACTGCTCTCCCATGTAAGATTTGAGTGACTGATGCTCATGAACGTTCACTTTTTAAAATTGTATTTATTTATTGATCAATGTTGTTGTGGTTGTTGGTAAATCCTAGTAATATAAAGGGGCAAAAATAAGACATGAATATCCAGCTTAGCTGATTGTTCCTTCACTCTGTGTGGCAGTAAGATATCTGCTCAGACTGGAAATATGCGGTGCACATAAACAGTGCAGTAACACAAAACTAATGCCATATTCACCTGAAAGTCCTGCCAAACCTTTGTAGCAGCTTTGTGACTGTCCTAAGCTCCACAGGAGATATCTGTTTTTATCCAGTAGCTCTGTTCCATCTTTGTAGGCCACAAAATGTACCAAGCTGGCACACACAGTCTGACTGCTTATCATCTACATGCACATTATGGCAGTGATGTTACATAAACACATACACTAACTCACATGCTTGCACGCACGTGCGCAGGCACGCACACACACACACACAACACACACACACACACACACACACACAAACACAGACAGTGCAAAAAATTGTTTTCTTGTGTGTTCTACAGCTAGTGGTGGTCCTTCCTGATCTTTTTTTTTTTTTTGGTAACTTTGTGTTTGTCCCTTTGTCTTTGCCACATCATCTGTTTTCCTTCTGTTTCACCTCCCCAGTGATTCCCTGCATGTCCTTATTGTGCTTTCATTTAGTTTTATGGATCGTTTTCCCTGGTTGATCTTTTGGTGTGTTTTGTTGGACTTTGTTGGACTCAGCTCATTATTCCTTTGACTCATCAGTGTCCTACTGTTGCAGTTGTGTCTCCTTGTTGGTTTTGATGTCCACTCGAACCATGAGTTTCCTGAAAGTACCATTTTGTTAATTTTACCTGACTGTTTGTCATGTATGTCTTTGTTTTGGCCCCCCTTCCTGAGTTAAACAATTACAACACCAAGGTTGCAGTAGCTCTGAGCTCAGAATGAACTGCATGAAAGGTTAATGTAACTGTTTTTCACAGGTACAGCATGGTGGATTATATGGGATAAAAACTAGAATACATAATGTATACACTTCATATACAGTTAACAAAAGTCTACATACACTTGTAAAGACCATGTATATCATTGCAGTCTTGAGATTATTAGTTCTGATGATGTAAAAAGTTAACCTTTTTTCTTTGTGGCATTGCTTATTGACTTGTTGTGAGTGATTATGATTGACTGCAGCTGGAAGTATGTTCTGAGCCAATTTAGTACACTCACCACACTTAGCCACAAACACTGCAGTGGGAAAGTCTAAGAAGCTCATGACAGATCTGAAGAAGCTAATCAATGACTTGAACAAGCTGGGAAAGTCACCTGGGCCATTTCAAAGCAGCTACAGATGCCAAAATCAGGCTAAAATTAAGGTTTTAGACTGGCCTCCCCAAAGTCTAGACTCAAATGCCATCAAGAACCCATGGATTGTGCTGAAGAGAAAAGGTCTGTCTCAGAAAGCCAACAAATTTGGATGGATAGATAGATGGATAGATAGATGGATAGATAGATGGATGGATGGATGGATGGATGGATGGATGGATAGATAGATAGATAGATAGATAGATAGATAGATAGATAGATAGATAGATAGATAGATACTTTATTAGGGGAAATTCAAGCTTTTTGTAATTTCATCATAGAAAATTAAGAGGTGTAAGAGTCACTAACTTTGCCTGCCATGATATACATGGGTTTTTACAAGTATCTTTTAACATTTGGTTGCAATTGTATAAACATGTTAAGTGGGTATGTTTGTCATGATCATGACTCTCGCATGTTAGCACATGCTAACAATGGCAGTAAACGTACAGACGAGGCAAATGGGAATGTCATTAATTTTGCAAGTATTAGTCATAAACCAAAGTGATTACCTTGGCAAATATGAATGTCTGTACCAGATTTCATGACGACTCGCAACAATTTGTTGTGATATTTCACTTTAAATTAAAGTGGATCAGATGCCCAAATGACCTGCTAGTACATTTCTTGTCAGAGGACATTTAAGGTGTTCTACATTAAAACAAAATGTTTATATCCATCATCCAGAAACCAGAGCCACAGCAGCAGAAATCCTGGAGATACTTGGGTATAATATCCAAAAATAGACCCGTAGTTCTGGCTTCTAAGCTGAAAAGGTACACGAGCAAGGTGGAGGCCAAGAGAATAAATGGCATGTTTTTTTTGTTTTGTTTTGTTTTGTTTTTTCTAAAGATCCATCAAGAGTGTACTTCCAGCTGCAAAGGGACATGGACAGACCCACCCACAGCTGAGACAGAATGATACTGGAAGGATATTTGGGAGAAAAGGGAATTACACAACATAAATGACAAGTAGCTGGTGGACCTAAGAGCGTGGCACAGCAATCTCACGGAACAAAAAACAGTCACCAAGGCAGACATCCAAAAACAGCAGCACCAGGACCTGACATGATCCACTTCTACTGGCGAAAGGTGCTAACATGGCTTCATGATCACCTGGCAGCACAAATGAGTGAGCTGCTAGCAGCTGGCACTCACCCAAACTGGCTAACACATGGCAGGACAATCTTGATATGAAAGAGTCCCACAAGGGTGCAATACCTT